CTACATCTTTGATATTGTTTGCCTTCACCTGACAGATATCCCACAGCCTCCTGGACCCATTCAATTGGAGGAGAAGGTGGTAAATACAGTGACACTAACCTGGGAGCCATCAGCCTCTGAGAAATGGGAACATCACCTGTACTACACAGTCCTGAAACGGGAATCGGAGAAGGGTGTGTGGCACGTGGTGGGTGACCTGATCTACACCAACAAGTTCACCTTCACCAATGTGGTCCCAGGCAGGGATTACTACTTCAGGGTCCTGGCAAAAAATAACTTGGGAGCCAGTCGTCCATCTGAAACTGTGAAGCCCTGGAAAATTAAAAAACTAAAAGGTAAAACAGTTTTTACAAATATTTACCTGTGTGTGGTCATGCTTTGCTTCTTGTATTGTTTAACACACCATCCTGAAAGGGGTTTCTGCTCTTGTGGACATTTAGTTGCCCAGAACAAGAATGCATAGAGATACCCTGAGAAATTCCAGTTTGGCAGAGAAGGCTTCTCCTCTCTGCATGGACATTGTGCAGATAGATCCTTTAATTCCAGCCATCATACCACATAATTCACCAGTAAGTTAATTCCCATCAAAATCTATGAGTTAAGTTTTCCAGAAACCAAAGTTCCTGACTTCAAAGTTAAATTCTAGGCAATTGGAGAAGAAACAGTATCACCCAGTATCATTCTGGTTGGAAAAGCCCTTCAAGATCATGGAGTGCAACCACTACCCTAACTCTGCAGTGTCCACCACTGACCCCTGTCCCCTGGCACCACATCTGTCTTCTTTGGTGTCTCCAGGGATGGTGGCTCAACCACCTCCTTGGACAGCCTGGATCACCCAGCCCAACTCCAGCTCCAGAACAGGGCAACCCTAAAGGTCACACCATGTCCCTGAAGACCTTGTCTAAATGCTAACTGAATGTTGTCAGGTTCTGTGCCATTACTAACTGTGCCACCACAAGCACAGATGACAATCCCCAGGGGTTGGGATCTTTCCATCTGCAGAGTCACAGACATTCTGCACATCCAAGCGTCACAATTGAAAACCAGTCCTTTAACCTCTGATTTCTCCTGCTGTGAAGCAGGATCTCAGTGTGTTGCTGGGTTGGTTTTTGCATGTTTGTTTTGTTCTTATTTTTACAGTTCAACCTGAAGTCAAACAACAGAAGCACAGGGAAGTTAATAAAAACCTGCCCCCAAGATTCCTGGTCCCGCTGAAGCCTCACGTGGTGCCACCGGGCAGCGAGTGCCACATGAGCTGTGCAGTTGGGGGCCACCCACCTCCCAAGGTGACATGGTACAAGGACAGCAGAGACCTCTCCAATGATCCTGCCTATTTTTGCACAAACGACTTTGGTGTCTGCTCCCTGGTTGTCCTGTTTGTCACAGAACGTGATGCAGGAGAATATCTGGTAGAAGCCACCAATGAACTGGGCCGGGCCTCCAGCAAAGCCTCCCTCACTGTTAAAGGTAACAAACTTCAATTCTTTCTTCACTGTGTGATGTCAAGATATGTCATGGCTGTCAAGATGCCTTCAAACTGGTCCCCTTACAGCTTTGTTTACTGGCAAGAGCAATCTTCTCCTGTAAGGCAGTATATATTTGGCTTTATTGATTTTTTTATTATCTTATTAGTGACCAAGTAAGAAACAGAAATAGGAATGAAAAGGCAGGTGTGAGAAAAAACACTTGAATTCTACATGAGCCAGGAATTTTTGCTGATCTTTAGCAGATTTTTTTTAAGAAATATTCCATTTTTGCTTGAGAAGACAATAGCTAGTCAGATTTTTCCACAGTGCAGGAGGTGCAGAATAAAAGAATAAAAGATGTGCAAGGTTAAGTGAAGCAGCAAAGAAAAAGCTGGTGATGGGTGGCCAAAGGCAAAGAGGAGGGAGGGACATGGTTTAAAAGGGTCACTGAGGATCCTGACGTGACTAGAGAATCAGTGTAATTGGCTGAGAAGAGTTTCATGGTGGAAATACTTATGGAAAAGTATTGTTGGGAGTTTTACTCAGTTCATTATGAAATATCCTTTACTCTGAGCCAAGTATTTTCCTTCTCGTGCAATTTGGTGGGTTAAACGAGTGGAGAAACAGGCCAGTTAAATCCATGTAATCTTTTTGCAGGCTTTCTGTCCCCTTAACATCTCAGGTCCCCCTTCCAGTTTGCCTTACAGACCTCTTTTAATATTGACCTACTTCTCTTTCTCTTCTTTTCAGACACCACCCTGTAGCATGAGCTTCCTGAGAACATCTCAGCACCACTATGAGAAGGAGAAGGTTGTGACTGTGAACTGGTCTATAGGAAGGCTGTGTGTTTGCTTTCAGATGTGCATTCTAGTCTTGCTGTTTTATTTGTCAGATCCAAAAGTTGCATTTTGAACACGATGCTGCATTGTAGTAAAAATGGGGGGGAAAGACTTTAAGAGGATTGTATCTTTTTGTAACAACCATGGCTTTCCACTAACCTTTAGAACACAGATTAGAAGCTTCAGGAACACAGAAAATGAGAGGAAAAATAATTGGCCAAAATGCAACTTTTCCCAGGCATGACAGATCCTTCTGCCTCACCTGCTGGAGGCTGCAACAAGAGCATCTCTTGACTCCAGAGATCTGGAAAATTGGCCTTGGAGCCTGTGGTTTTCCAATCCAAAGAATGAATTTTAGATTCCACATAATTCCCAGCAGGTTTCCTAATTCTGGTAGAGGCAGTTCTGCATGTATTCCCCTACCCAAGTTAAGTATTGCAAAGACTATCTGGTAGATCCTAGTTTTATCTGGGCAAGAGAGACATTGTCAGCCCAGGCTTGCATGGGGCAGTGCTGCTCACAGGGGAAATGCCTTGATGGGAATGAATGGAAACCTAGAACCAGTTGTATTGATGTGAGCAGATCAATGCTGGACTTAAAGAACTTACCAGAGCCAAGTGCTGTGAAAAAGGATGTTATTCCTAAACTACCACATTAACACCTCTGAAATTTAACTGCCTCATGACATTGCTGGAATGTTTTTGCCAGATGTGAGAAGAGCTTAAAAATCTCCAGAGCAGAAATATGAGGTACCACCAGAGATCTTCAGCCATGCCTGGGGAATTCCATCACTGAGTGGAAAAGATTGGAAAGCAAAAATGTTGTGATGCTTGTGTGAACACATAGCATGGAGCCTCAGCACCAGAGGTACTTGGGTGACAGCATCTGGAGGACTGGAGAGTATAGATCAAAGACTCACAGGCACTGGACCCTCAGACAGCCAGTCAAACATCTCTGTGGGGCTGAAATGTTCTTTTGGTTTATATTTTGTACAATGTTGTACAGATATAGCAACAGTAGATTATGAAATTAAACAATCATTCAATAAAATCTACCATGAGTAAGTGTTTATTTGGGAGAAGGAAGCCCAGCCAGTCCCTGAATGCCAATCCAAGCCTGTTGCAGTTTTCACATATAGTGGCTATAAAAGGTCACCCCAAACCCTGTACTGTATATGTAGGTTCCTGTTTAATCTGGGAAGAACAACAGATATGAGGCTTTTATAGGTTTATTTCCCACTAATATATGAGCCTGCTGCTGCAGTGGCAGAGCTGTGCAGTCTCTGATAATGCAAATTTTGTTCAAGAAAATATAAAGCATAAACCTGCCACTCCCTGATCAGGGTGTACCCAGGGCTGGTGGTCTCATCCCTCCTTGAAGCTTCTGATACCAGCTGCTACTGGGAACATTTATGTTGCATGCTGATCTCAAGCAAGGATCATCTTGTTTATACCATAACCCTCACCACTGTATTGTGACCCCTGTCTCAAGCCCTTCTTGATCCACCAGATGAAGCTTCTCTCCATTTTCCACCTGTTCTATGCAAGAGAAACACGGGGCTGCTCCCCTCTAGGTGCTGCTTTCCACTGGATCCATCTCTCTGTTCTGTTGGGCACTTCTGGCTTGTGCTCCCAGGGCTGCCAACCCTCCAAATCTTGTTACAGAAACCATCTCCCAGCACAGCAGGACCTCCCAGGACTGCCAGCATGGACCCAGCAGGCTCCAGCCTTGCAGCATGTGCCATCCAAAAAAGTGTAGGGCAGTGCTGGTGCCTTTGCTCGTTGCCATCCTCAGGCCACATCTCGAGCACTTTTGGTGGCCAAGTCAGTGCAGTCCCTTGATGTGCTGCTACTTCTCCATCCTTTGAAAGAGCACAGAGGCTGAACGTGGGCAGTGTGGGTGCACTGGGCCACCTGCCATCATGCAGTGGGTGGAGGTGCTGCCTGGGATCATGGTCAAGAGAACAACACTCAGCTGGGAACTGCAGTGCTGCACCTGGAGGAGAGTCCACTGGGATTTAGATGTTTCTTTTGAGGTGGCCTGTTGCTCCTGCAAGGAGTGGGACATCCCTTCCCTTGGAGGAGTGTCTCTTGTTTTGCTTTTCCATTGACAAGGACCAAGGTGACTTTCCCTGTAATCCACATGTTTATGGATTCCAGCAGGCTTGAACTAGGTCCATCCCTGGAGAGGCATTGGCTGCTCTTTGTTCTCTGAATCTGCTGAGAGGAGGGAGATGGTCTCTTGCAGGGCTGAGTGACAAACACCAGGTTTTCAATAGTTTTGGTTTGACTGATGCTGGTGAGACCCTGCAGGAGTGTGTGGGAGCTGCTGTCTGGGGAATGTGCAGCACTAGGGTTACTTCTGCTGTTTTCTTCTTGAGCATAAAGGCCAAGCTTGTTGGAAGGGTCTGGACATTTGAGACTGAAGCCTGGGAAGTCTGGAAGGAGCTGACACACCAGGAGTGGGGGGCTCTTGCAAGTCTTGCTGAGAGCTGCAGACTTATCCCTGTACACAGATGTCAGCCCCAATTCAAGATACTCCTCTACTTTTGTGCTCTTGAATGTTTTATGTTCCAGCCCCATGTGCTTAAAATACTTCCCAGCTGGGGAGCAGGGCTGGGCCAGACACGTCGAGCTGGGCTGCAAGAGCCTGACCAGCAGTGCCAGTAATTCCCCGAGGAGCAGACTGTGCACAGGTAAGGCTGGTGTGCTGGGAAGGTCTGGTCAGCACGAGCAGCAGGGGAGGGAGTGTTGGGAGTCAGCAGAGCTGCTTGTTTATCCTCTGCCCTTTGCTGACAGCAGAGTGATGATCCACCTCCCAGGAATCACCCTCCGAAGGGGAAGAGCAGATGTTGCTGCAGGGGGAGGCTGAACCTGTACTCCAGCTTGGTGGTATTTACAGCAATTACTGCCTATAACCTGTTCCACACCCCTGCCTCATGGTTTGCCATCACTCTTTGCAGTCATTATTTGACCTGGGAAGATGGTGAGTGTGGAGCTGGGCTAAGTCTGACCACTCCTCCTTCCAGGAACCACTTCAACAACCGAAGGATGTGGTGTGGGTACCCTGGCCTGTGGCTTCATGTCCCCAGGGCTGTGCTGGGGCTGCTGGTGTGTGTGGCACTGCTGCAGGCTGCCCCTGCTGCCACTTGCCCCACAGTCCCTGGGAGCCACTCCCCCAGATTCCCATCTGATGAGGGAGCAGCAAAGCCAGAGTGGTGGAGTTTGTCCCTCAGAGCAGGTGATGAGCACCCAGGAGAGCAACGCTCCTGAGCTGGGAGGCACAGATGAGCTGCTGACTCCCACCCTGGGTGGAGGACACAGGGTGTCCTGATGATGATCATAGTGTGCTGATGAACACGAGCTGTTCCTCTGCCAGGGCTCGGGTTTTTTTCCCCCTCCCTTCCCAGGCAGGGCTGGGCCTGGCTGAGGGTGCTGTGTGTGTGTCCCTGCCGGGGTGAGATGGGCAGGAACAAGCTGGAGAGCAGGTCCCAACAACGTAAGAGCAAAATCCCCTTTTCACCACTGAGTACATGATGATGGATCCTTTTAGGGCAGAAAGCAGGTCCTCATCCAGGAGCCTTCCTTGGCAGGAGGTGTGCTTGGTGTATTTGGCTGATTTGCAGCCAAAAAAACCCCCAAAATTACTGTTAGAACTGCAACTTCTGTGACCTTTCAGGTGGTTTGGAGAATGAGATCATTTGGACTCGATGATTTTAAAGGTATTTTTAAACCAAAATGATTCTATGTCTATAAACCAGCAGTGCTTTTCCATGCTATTTTCTGAGAGTTAATGTCAGACCAAGGGACCCTCTGGACCTTCTCTCTTTGTTGATTTATCCTTCTTAGACCCTGCTGAGCCAAGGCTTTCCTTCATCCACCACAGTCAGTGACCAAGGCTGTAAAGGGCAGAAGGTCCCTGCTTCTTCCTCTGCAGGTTCCCAGCCTGCTGTGTGCTGTGGGTGTCCATGTCCATGTGTTGGTCCTGTACAGTGACATGTCCTAGCTCCTTTCTCTCCAGGGATCTGTGGTCAGGGCTACAGATCTCAGCTTTTGAGTGACACCCTTTGCAAGTTTGTGAGCAGCCCATGAAGTTGAATTCAGGGTGCTTTCTGCTTTGGGGAGGATAATTAATTTCTAAGTGCAGGGATTCACAGCCCAACCTCCTGACAGGGCCAGACAGTGATGGATTGACCTTGGGCAGCACTTGGAGCAATGACTGACAATTTCTGCATCCATCCCCAGATCTGGCTGCTGCTGGAGAGGACCTGGTTGCCTCTGGAGATGGGAGTGCTCACCAGGGAGGGGCAGCCCTTGGAACAGCCTCTGTCCATGCTCCTCCCTGGCTGCACAAGCTGGTTCCATCCCATCATCTCCAGGGAGTGGTGCTGTAGGACTGCAGAGGACTTCCCAGGGACAATGCAGAGAGAGTTTTCCAGCCTGGGAGATGGAGGCTCATATGGACTCACTTTCTGACTCTGGGCACTAGTTGGTTGCAACTTCCCTCCCTGGAGTGCTGGAAGACTTCATGTACAAGGACAAAACTCACAGTGGGAGAAGCTCCACTTCTCAGTCCTTATTCTTTGCCCTTGTAGGTTTGGGATGCCATGGGTGTGTGGGTGTCTCACCATGTCTCCTTCACCCTGGAGGTCCCTTGGGTGCTCAGTCAGCACCGTTTCAGGCACAGTCTCTTTTCAGCCTTGGCCCAGGGAGGCTGGTGGTGAGAGGGGCTGCAGGCACTGCAACCTGACCTGGCCTGGGTTAGTCACCCTCACACGGTTTTGCAGGCCTGGCTCAGACTCTGCTGCGCCTGGCAATGCCAAGAAGTAAAACTGGACAAGCCTGGAGTATTTCTAAACCCTCTGCAACGTGGCTCAGCAGTGATTCAGCATCTGCTTGGGAGTCTGGCAGCTGCCCATCTCAGCT